CGTAAAATAAAGATAAAATTATTAATAAGTAGTTTTGTTTCTTTTAGATCGCTTTGTTAATTAACGCATTGTTTTAATTTTAAACGTAAATAAAAAATCTTACGAAATATTTAATTATAACAGTAGGAAAATTGGCAGTCTCGAAGTTATGAAGATGATAACTGACATAACTTATGCTTCAAGAGCTGAACTACTTTCCAGGCCCAGTGGATGATGATAATAATAGCCTAATTTGAGTGACAAAAATTGACTAAAGACTAAATTGTGAAGACTAAATTGTATACGCTATAGTATACGCTACTATACTAAAATATTTCACCTTTTTTGTAAGTTATTTATAAATGTGTTTCAGACAAATGATGTGCACACTTTCTTTTAATATCAGAAAATGTTGCTCTGGAAAGGATGAAAGAATATGTATATATATAATTTGGATCAGATAATATATAGCAATAAAGTGTTCATTTTGGCTTTGTTCACGATTGCAGAAAGTGTGCTAACGAAAATTTTAAAGTTAGACTAGAAGATTTCAAAATTCATGTACGTATAAAGTTTTACATAATTATTATATTTATTTTGATAACATATGTCTTGCCACTGACCGAGTGATAAAATAGCTGAACACTGGTACTTCGCCTCAATTTCTAACCCGACGATAAGGCTAGCTGCATGGAAATATTCGTGGTTTTCCCCGTTTGTAGCCTGAATGGAAGCCACTTAAAAAGTCCTCCAAAGAATCCCTTAGGCAGCCAGCCTTGGTGTGCTTTATCACAATCCTATTAATCCTTAACATGTAATTCAAACCAAAAAGATTTTTCTACGACATTTCATGTTGTTACGGTTGTATCTGTCTTATTTCTAAGCCTATATACATCACGCACCTTTTATTATTAGGCTGTGCATTAGGAAACTATAAAAATATATTAAAAATTACATATATCTAATCTCCTTGTTGTTTTGATTAGTCGAGACAGCAACCTCGATTTACCGACAGAGACATTGATAATAGGCTTGAAGTATGCATAGGAACATATGTAACAGCGCGACGAGACGGCGGTGCCTTTCCAACAATACGCTAAGAAAAAGCAATAAAATGTCCTGAGATCTTTATTTAGGGACATAATTAAACATATACGTGTTTAACGTCGGACAAGAATATAGTGCAGCGACAGCTGCAGGAGCTGTCTAGAAGTATATGAATACAATAAGAAAAGGAAGACTGGCGTTTTTAGGGGATGAATATTCTTCATCTGAGTCCTTTTAGTAGCAGAGTACAATATTCTAGTAGTAGAAACGTGACAGGAAAAAACGATGCATCCACTCTTCAATGCTAGTGTTGAATCAGCCTATCATATTATTTATGACGAGCTGAAGGTTTGCAAAGTGTGCGAATGATGGACAATCAGGTGTTGGACACCTGAAATGAAAGAAAGACTTATCGAAACTTTATAAGAGATTCTGCTCTGGTGGTAAAGTATGGCTAATGGTAAAGAATTCTACTGCATTGCCACAATTGCAGAATGAGAGCTTCATACATTTTTAGCCGGAGAAGAGTTCCAGGCTGTTGATGAAATTACAATGTACTAGAAACTGTGCATCCATCCGAAAGAATTCCTTTTCGCTCGAAGTCTACGAACTTGTCAAGCGTTTACACTAGATTATGATAATGCAAAAAATTGATAATGTAATTATTTTAGTATTTGCAATAAATTGTAAGCAAAGAAATAAAATGTTCTAGTTTCCCATTAAGCTAATTCCCAAGAGCTCTTAACAAATAATTTTGTCTCAACAAATTCACCTCTTTAATAAATTACTGCTGAATCTCTAAAAGTGACAACACTTTCAGTGTTAGAAAATGAAGACAAAAGTACCTTCTATTTTTAAAGTACAAAATTTTATTTTAGTTTTATGCCGCTTTCCAGGCATTGTGCTTTTAAAGGAAAAAGAGGAAATAAATACTAGATAAACTCTAGAGTGAAACATTATAAAGATCGTTAATGGCAGACTGTTTCAATTTTCGAAACCTAGGAGCTCGTTCATAGGTTCTCTAGGGTGCTATTTTGAGCATTTGTTACGCTTGAACAAAGAGGAAAGTTAAAAATAAATTATCAGCAAAGTAGCTTAAGGCAAAGATTTTCTAACTAATAGCTTGAAAAGATAGGTTAATTCTCGAAAAAGCGATGTTAGTGCATTTTACTTAAAGCAGAAGTTAGAATATGAAACGAGGAATTTGTTGAAGTAATCGTTCAGAGTTTGCTTTGTGGCTGTGCAGATGCATTTTTCAAATAAACTGTTCCTTAAAACTAATTTTTTTTAATTTGCTTGCATAGAGTGTGTTTAATATACTGGTTAAAATTATAATTTCAATAATATTTTTAAAAGGGAAGAATAATAATGGAACGCATTTCTGTTACATATATTTAATGTTTATACAAACGGAGTAACATAACATATGAAGTCATGTAGTAACAAATGTACTCATGTAACATATGTATTCATGTAACATATGTGCTAATGTAACATATGTATTTGTGTAGTAGTATATGACTCCGTGTAGTATGTCACATGTAGTATTTGCTTGCACATAACCGTGGAAATTATGCACATCCAAATACATGTTACATTAAAATATTCGTATGAAATATTTTCGAATACTTTTTTCTGTTTTTTAACTAAATAGAAAACATTTGCATAAATTTTGTTGTCTTTGAAATGAAGAACTGAAAACAGTTAAGAATCTCAGCTTAGTGTTGCATACCAACGCTATACATACCAATACTTGTTGCATATCAGTTTAGTTTTGATGCAATATTAGCATCAAAACTAGATTATGATTGCATAATACATTGACGTTTACCTAAATATAATATTATCTACATTAGATAAACGAGAATCACATAGATTTTGAAGCAAAATTTGAATTTAAAGTTGGCACTAAAATAACAAGAACGTGCTGTATAAACTTCCAGGGAATTTCTTGAAAACCTTAAGGAAAAAGTCTCAGAAGTGAAAAAAAAAAAAAACCTTATATATATGTAATATATTCAAAATATTTTTCTCCTTGGATAAGAGAGACGAATAAAATTATTTTAAGAAAGCTCCTTCATTTTATATCCTCAAGATCTTCAAATGTGTTACTGTTGCAAGAATGAGAACTTACTTAAGTTTAAAGCCATTGCTCCCAATTTTTTACAGCTGATTGTAGCATTACTGCTTTGATAATCAATAACAAATATTTTTTGCCACATATAATTTTATAATTTAGTCTGTTTTTAATTCCTTGTACGAAGTAAAGGAAGTATTGTAATCGCGAAAAATTGCGCGTATCATATTTCAATGAAAATATCCACCTTGACAACTCTCGAATCCATCTGAACGATGTTTTTCTGACATCTGTACTCACCTGCAGAATAAAAGGCGTTTTTTCCAAAACTTATTGTAAAATGGTTCCAGAAGAGATTTTTTGTGACGTCTGTACGTACGTATGTATGTATCTCGCATAACTCAGAAACGAGTATTCTCGGAACATTAAAATAATTTTGTATAGGGGACTGCTATAACATACAGTTGCGAACCTCCCTGTTTTTAATCCGCCACACCAAAAGAAATCTTTCAGTTTTGTGCATCGAAAAATCTGTCTTCTTTAAATTGTTTTAACTGTATTTACAATTTTCTGTTTTTTACCATTTTTAATAAAAATATTTTGGCGTTTTATGTATTTTTGCCTTGTTGCGAAGTTGAAAACTGAATTAATTGAATGAGAAATGTATCTGTAATGAAATAAGTTTAAATGAAATGCAAGAAAAACTGCGCATAATTTAATATTACGCACAAGTAAGTCATGTGGTGTACACATCAGATTTTTTTAAACAGTTTTAACTGTGTTTGGTGTTTTATGATTTACAGCATTTTACAATTTTTAATGAAGTTATTTGGAGTTATGTATTTTTCCCTTGCCGCGAAGTGAGAAATGAATTAATTCGAAATATATCTCTAATGAAATTCGAGGAAATTCGTGTAAATGAAAGGCAGCAAAACTGTGTATAATTTAATAGGCCCTACAGGAAGTCACGTGGTGTCCACACCAGATTTTTTTTAGAAAGTGTTTATGTATTCAAGCCAGGCTTCGATCTTGCCGTCCCAATTTGAAACCTTCTGCTAAATATTTGAATCCCATATTTAATCTATATTTTCCAGATCATCTAAAACATTTTGTGAACAAAAAATCTGAAAATTTCGTGATTACGCTCTCATTTTATATTCAGTTGAATTCATGAAACGTATTCCAATCAAATGTCATAAATATTTTTATGTATAAAACTTTTAGTATTATAATGCACTCTAGATTTTTGTTCAGATGTAAAATAACTCAAATGCAGAACGCTTTTATTTCTCGCTCAATTAAACCCTGTGCCATTTAGGCATACACATTCTATTACAAAATCTGTTTATTTCTGTCCTTTCTGCTTGCTTTTAAATTTTCACTAGATATTTTCGAATTACCTGCATACATATGCAAATCGACAAAGACAGATAAATGCGAATATGAATCTATCTGATATGTTGAATAGTAAATCAGATCCTTTTTTAGCTTTAAGAAGGAAATACTGTTATTCATAAGAGCAGATTTAACAGGAAATGTTCATATCATGTGGAAGAAAAATTATATAAAACTGAAGAATAGTTTATTTTTGCACTTGTTGATAAGTTATTGCTTAATTACAATGTGCATTTTTGCATTATTCCAAAATGATTATAATTTCTAAAACTACGGTGCGCATTTTATATGCGTATACAAATCAAATATCTGTGAAGAATAATTTTAATGGCATGCAATGGACATTTCAGCGGCAAGCTTAAATATTTGTATTTATTTAACGTTAAAAATCAGAAAGCCTTTTCTTCATTATATTGACATTTAATTAAACAATTTGAAAATCATTAGAACCATTAATAAAAAATAGCTATAATTTTTTATATTTCTTATTCTTCCCTTTCAGCAAGGTGTTCGCTTCGACCCTGACTTGCCTCAGACGATTCGACTGGAGTTCGCAAAGAGCAACACAAAGGTTAGCAAACCGAAACAGCAGTCACCTCCTGCCGCCGCTACGCACCCTACACTCCTGCACCCTCTGGCCGGACGTAAGTAAAGGCACACACTCACCCTCACCCTCACCCTTTTGACGTCACCCACCTGACTATTCTGCCCGACACCTCATTGCCCCACCCACGATTCTTTTATTTATTTATTTTTTCTTTTCCTTTTTTCTTCTTTCCCTCTGCGTTCCCTTTATTTAATTGAGTAACCACCACGCAAGACAATGTTGTAAATGGGATTCATTTGGATGAGTCGTTTCGTGGCAGATAGCAGATTTCAGGCCTTGATTGTATACTCACTAATGCTGTCACTTTAAAATACATTAGGATAAATTTAAAAGACTGAATGTGGTACTTATGGGCATTTCGGTGACATTTTACAGATGAAAAGCATTCATGATCAGCTGGAAATCTTCAAACGCATTTATAACAAAGATGCATTTAATATTTGAAAGAAGTGAAGTAATCCTTTCTCGTAAAGTATTCGTTTTCTTGTTTTCTGAAAGTTCTTTTCAGTTGTTTTACATATCGTACATCATATATATATATATATTGACATCATATTAATTTGAAACGAAGGGTCGATTAATTAATATATTAGAATAATTTCAAATTGAACTTTTCTCCTTAAATGTCATTTCCTTTAGTAATTCTAAAAGGAAAAAAAAAAAAAGATAAATTCCTAAAAGAATGACAATTCTGTTAGGAGTTTATTATAAGCTTATTACATCTGGTATGCTAAAAAAAAATTCACCTAAGTAATTTATAAGTTTTTCAAAGTCTTAAATTAATTTATTAATATTCTTATGTTCACCGAAGTTGTAATAGAATAAGAATATGGTTATCATAAAAAATTCGTTGACCTGCAAATATTTTTCATTATTAATTAATGCAAATAATATTACTAGTTGGCTACATGCTAATACCTACTACGTGCCTGCTAGTATTTTTAGAACACTTTTTTTTTTACAATTATGTGAATAAAATCTCCATATTGAAAAATTATATTTATTTTCACAATAATCTGCCTTTGTCATTTAATTTTGTTAACATATTGTCAACATCAAAAGCCTTTTCTCCGATCGAAATTTTGTGTTTAATTACGTACAGATGCGAACAATTCGCCCTTCAGTTTTGAGCTTTTGCGTACGAATCCTTAATTTAATCTGTATTTTTATTATCAACTACGAATACAGTTCTTTTTTATACGATAGTCACACTTTTCGTTGTGTGTATTTTATAACGGGTTCGAAATCTTCCGAAATGTAGAACCTGGATGAAAGCATAAAATATTAGTTTTCGTAATTTTAAAATTAACGTTTCTCAATTTAAATTAACCAATTTGTTAATTTAAATTTATAAAATATCTCTGAAGATTTGTGTCATTTAAAACACTTTCGTAATCGGAAATAAATGTCTGCGACCAACGGTTACGCGGAACTTCGGACAACTTCAATATCAGGAAAAGCATGACTTACTTTAAGTTTAATGGTCTTTAAATGTCAATTTGCGATCAGGACGTGTATATATTTTCCGTTCTAATGCCTTTGAGTGTGGCTGTCCACGTTTTTCCTCTGACAGCTTCTAATAAACACCCTATCTCGTAAGAACTGCATTGCTATGCGATTCCGAGTCGTCTAGGTGTATCTTATACCAACTAGAAGTTTGTTCCTCTAGTTTTGAATCCCCCTGTATGTATGTAAATCTTCCATCAGCCTTATGTATGTATATATATATATATATATATAGGTAAAAAGATGCGATGTCATTTCAGGCAGTAATGGATAAACGGCGCAGAGTTATTTGCATAGCAGAAGTCAGAAAGAACGTAGTTTCTCGTAAAGTCGTATTTATACTACGTAGGTACTTTATGTAAAGCTAAGTCGTGATTGGTTAAGTTTAGTTTTAGTTACCTTTTTCAATCGATGTTATATAACATGGAAAGATCTTGAATTTGGGAGAACAGATGAACTTAGGTGAAAGTACCAAATCTAGAATATTTAATTTTGAGTTCGCCAACTATTTTTAAAGCAGCTATCGCATGCAGTGTTTTCACAAGGTTTATTTTTCCTAACATTAAGCGTTGCCATTTTTAACAGCTCTCTTTAAATATAAGATCTTAGTTTCTACATCTTTAATCTCAAGGAGACTAATTCTTAAAGTAATAAAAGTATCTTAACTGCGTGGCTTAAATTTTCGCCAGTGTTAAACTGAAATCGTAAAAAGAACATACATGCATATCAAGATTAGATTGCAATTTATGTTTAAAATTAATTTTACATTTTGCATAGCTTTTATGCCTAGATGTATTAGATAATAAAATCAAATTTTCAGACTGAGATTTTGCACAATTTAATTTCATTTGAACAAATTGTGTTTTCACTCGCCTTCTATTTCAGCGTAATTATCATCTTTCTTCACTATGCTTTGAAATATGTATAAGCTAATAATAATTATTTTAACTTGAAAATTCAACAATATGATGGAAAAGAATAATATGTTTCGTGAAAAAATTGCATTAACAGCCTGAATCTAAATAATAAAATTGCGAATAGAAAACTGCAAAATAAATTTGTTTGGAAAATTAATAGAATTTTTTGTGAAAAACTGAGTTAACATTTTGATTCTAAAAATAGAATTTAGGATAAAAAATTGTAACGTATCTTGTTATACTTAAAAACTTGATGTCAAAATTTATAAACAATTATTTTATCTGCCTTTAATCATGTTCAAATATATAAGTATCAATTATTTTGCTTCTGAAGGAAAGATGTTTAAAAAGTTGGCAAATTATCTAGCCAGTCTATTTTTAGCAGTTCCCGTAAAATAGTTTTAACTCGTAAGTGGCGCCATCTCTTATCAATAGCAGAGTAGTTAAACGAAATTTTGATAAAATAGTTTTCACTTTTCAAAGATTCATTTTAATCAGTTTATGAGACCTCTGTTGACTTCTGAGGAATAATACAGACAGATACAAAGTAGCTCTAAACAAAATTGAAAATTCATTAACGACATCGTTTTCGCATATTTTATTTTCAACATTACAATATATTTTAAAGAGAAACTCCAGAATCAAAATTTTTCTTAATTTATACTTTCAAGTGAATTAATCATCTAAACTTTTTTACCCTAATTAAATTATTCAAATTACCTTTACCATCAGGTTTATTATACTTTTATTTATTGCATGAACTGTAAAAATTACTTTGTAATGTTTTCTTAATTACGTTTACGAATTTTCTTCTATGAACTTAATGGTGCTCTTACTTTCTTTTTCTTGCATCAAACGTGGATATGCGCATTGAAAAAGTAACATATTAGCCAGTATTTGAGTTTTGTCAATATTATAATTTTCCTCTGTGACCAATTTTACAAGCAATATAAGATTTCAATAAATTTAAATTTTATTTTAAAATTAATTTTATGAAAATATTAAATCTAATTCTTAAACATATTTAAAATGACTCTAACGTTTAGTAAGGTAATGAAACTAAGAACAGCTTTTAATGTGAGTTTGGAAAAAAGACACGTTACATGCTAATAATAGCTATGAGATAAAAATTTAAGAACTTTGGTATGGATCGTAAACCAAAGCATATACAGGTCACAATTTATTTATAAATAAGACAGAAGTATACTGTATAGCTATTTTTGATTACGCAGATACAAAACAAAAATTTAATTCATGCAAATGACATTATATTAGACGTGAATCGCCTACTTGCACAAAAGAATTATCATTTGACTACCATTTTTTGTATATAGCATTTTTCCTAAAAATTTAAATGAAAATTTCTGACCTTGACTGAAGCAGTGAGATTTTTGGCGAAAAAGCAAATTTGTGAGACATTAATCAAAGGAATTTATGTTCAATTTTCTTCTAAATCTAAAATAAGTAAACAAAACAAAATTAGATTAACTCAAACTATTCCTTATTTTGCAACTGGCAATACATTAAAGCAACCAAAATATATTTTCCCAAACACGTAAAGTTATCATAAAATATTTTTAAAAATTTAGTAAAGCTTTTGACTTCCTTTTAAGTTTGTTGTAGGGTGAAAATATAAATTAAATTAAAAAAATTATTTTAATGATGAACAAAGCAGAGTTCCCTCTGGGATCATTCTTTTCGATTAAATACCCATCGTAAAATTGTAACTATATTATATTTAAAAAATCGACATCAGAACCTACTCACTTTTTTAGTTCCGCAGAAAAGGATGAGATGGATTTTTAAGATATGTAGATAATATCCAACGGGGTTTATGAGAATTATATTAAAATATGTGTAATATAATAATTTTATTATATATATTTATTAATACATTATAAATGAAAAATCCTGTCCCTATTAAAAATATATAAACTTCAAGCATTTAAATACAATTTTTTTTTTCATAAATAAATATTATATTCGTAGTTGAATTTGCAGGTTCCTCGCACGTAGGCAGACAGTTCTTTTATCGAATAAAGCAGTGTTTTGAGTATAAAAACCTTTCCACTGTAACCTAGAACTGGTTAACTTGCGGAACATTAATTTTTCCTGTTAGATACGTTGAAACAGACGATATCGTATAATTATAGTAAAACAATGTGTTTCAAGAATAGCATTTAAAAATACATATGGGAAAACAAATAAAAAATTAGACTTTTTAAAAATTGTAATGATTTTTAGCCCAAAGGGACAATTTTCCCAGAAAAGCTCGTAACTTCGTTTTGGCATTTTGCGTCGGCCATTATAAAACGGCGTTTCAATTTTTAAGTTGTTGCCATTAAATATTAGACCCCTGCATTGTATTTAAAGTTATTAAATAATGAATAATCTGCATATGTATGTTTCTCGCATTGTGAAAAAAACAGCGGTAAGTAAAGACATCAAATTCTGAATAACGTGGTCCTCCACTCTGATATGGGCATCTAAAAGCCCACATTTGGAATTTGTTTTATAATCTGTTTCATATTTTGTATAACTTTAAAGAATTTTTTTTAACAAATTCAACGATTTCAAAGCGAGTGATGGCTGCAATGTACGAAAAAAAAAAAAA